GCGGGTCCTTATCGTTGTCATCGTCTCCTGACAAGGCACAGCGGAGGCATCGTCTGTTGTTGTGGCGATTCCCGAAGCGGGGACAATATTCCAACACCCATTAATGTGTCAACAAGAGGAGCTTTCTTCCGCAAGGGTAATTATTCTGTGCTCCGAATGAACGCGAAATACATTATCACTTCCCGTCGCTCTCATCATCGCTGGAAGAGGCGTCCTTCGACAGCTGGTCCACGTCAACCTTGCCGGTGTCCCCATCCTCCTTGCCCTCCTCATCAGCGCTGGCGCCACCCTTCACGTCCATGAAGGAATGTGTGGAAAGGCCCTCGAGGTTAACGTTGTCGTCCCCAGAGCCATCCGCCGTCATTCCACATCCGGTTTTCTCGAAGAGACGGAACCGATAGTGCTCATCTTTATCGATCTCCTCGGTCGCCCGTGCCACCGAAGTGCGCACGAACCTCCGTTGACCGCGACTCTAGATCTCGCAGCTCCTGAACAACACTGACCTTCTCGCGCGAGGTGTACCGTCTCCTCGAGGCTGCTCCACACGTTTNGTGCTCATCTTTATCGATCTCCTCGGTCGCCCGTGCCACCGAAGTGCGCACGAACCTCCGTTGACCGCGACTCTAGATCTCGCAGCTCCTGAACAACACTGACCTTCTCGCGCGAGGTGTACCGTCTCCTCGAGGCTGCTCCACACGTTTTCTTTGGTGGCGACTCCTTTTGTGACAAGCCGTCGTTCACGAGGTTGTTGTTCCGCTCGACTCCAGGGCGTAAAGGCTGCAGCACAAACGTCACGGACCCTGGCGGACATGTACTCTTATGTAGTCTGTGTTTACAAGTTACGGCAAACACCCAACCGAGGTTTTCCTTTCTTCTCGATGTTTCCGGGGGTGTAGAGCACAATCGATCTCGCCAACCAAATTCACAAGTGTTTCTAATTTTTATATCTGGGTGAGAGTGATAGGGTGCACGCAGCTCAAAGGTCGTGCCTAATTGGCCACGATGAATGTTGTTCCGTTTGCCCTTCTTATCCCCCGTCGTGAACCGTTCATGCACACACTTAAACCCTATCCCTACTCGTGCGGATGTCCTTCGTTCTGTCGATGCAGATCCTGCGAAACGAAAAGAATCCATTCGCGAGATGAACCTCTCTGTTCAGCTGCTGCGTGAAAGGGGCACCAAGGATTGGGACCTTCCGAGCTTGACTACAGCAGCAGGATTGGACGACAGCTCGGACGACGACAGCTCGGACGATGACAGCTCGGAAGGCAACGGCAACGGTGACAATGGAGCTTTGGACACCGTGTCACCACAAGCCTTGCCGGATGGGTCACTGGTCGGGGGTGGGGGGGGTGGCCCCGGAAGCGGCTTGCACTTGCAGCCTGGGTGGTTTGCCGTT